CCACCCGAGGTCCTAGGCTTCCACCGGCTAAACTGGATGAGGTTGGTGCTCTGTAAAGCGCATGCGCGAATCCGGCTTTTTGGATGCTGACAATACAGCGTTTCCACTCCGGTACTCCGCCACTAATATTCGAATATACAATAGCGATGTTATCTCTTTTTTTTTTCACGTGTAGTATAGAAATTTGTAATAAGATACATAATGCGGTTATAATAAAATATTGTGCGATTATTTTCGTATAATTAAAATTAATATGTATTTTATAAAAAATAAAATCCCGTTGTTTTAGAAGAATTTTCACTTTCGTCTCTTTTTTGAACATCAATCTTTCTAGTTTGTATATTAAAGATATTTGTTTATTGTATGCTGAACTGTTGATTGTTATAAAATGCTTATTCTGCATTGATAACTGTTATAAATTTGAAAAAAAATAAGGAAGAAATGGCATAAAATATAGTTTACAAAATAGTTTCAACGAATTTAAGGAACAGACAAAATTCGACAATTCGATTAATGGGCGCTAATAAACACAATAATAACTAACGCTTGAAGAAAGTGAGTGAAGAAAAGGGGTGTAATTTTTAATGATATTTTAATTTAAAAGTTAATCAGGATCTTAGGCCCTTAATCTCTCCGTTTTTCATCTAACACCGTTCCCGAGAAAATAGATAATCGGTGTTCTACTGTAAGTCTACTGTTTACTTTTAATATTTAAGTCATGCTTTATACAGTATTATCATTTTCTTTCTAAATATAACATATATTTATAATATCTGATTAAATATCAATTATATTCAAACCAATAATTACTATCATTAGTAAAAGTTGTTACATCTTTTCATACAGATGTGTTTACATGATGTGATTGTTATCACATTATTTAAATAGAAGTAATGACAGATAATACTTTAATCTATCAGTTACAGAGCTGTTGTCGTCTTGATATTTCTTATTTATTAAATGTAACAAATAAAATTTTACTTCGTCGTCATATTTCTACAAACAACCATGTTCAACAAACGGACGAAACTCTTCCCAAATTTTGATTTATTTTTCTTTCATAAAAGTGATGTGAAAATAGTTATTTAGAACCACAAAAATAAAAAAATACTTTCTCCGTTATTAACTATAATTATTGTTGATTTAATATTTCGTGATTACATGGAAATACTTTAACTAATAATTACAATTTTAAATGTTTACAGTATACTCTCTACTTATTGCATTCACGGATGACGTTATCAGTCGGTTACTGCTATCAAAATTAGCAGGTTACATTATATAAATATATACATTATAAAAATTTCGCTTAGTGTAATCAGAATTCGATTTTCTGGTGGATAAACAAGGTGTGGTCCTCAACATCCATCTCATTGAGAACCAAATTTTGCCTGTTCACCTCCGTCCCCAGGTGTCATGCATAGGACCCCTCCTTTGGAATGTTCTTGTGGCAATGAAGCAATAGAACAGCTCGTTTGCTGAGGAGGGCTGCATAAGCTGTCCTTCAGCCCGGAGAAATCAGAGGCATGCTTGCCGACCAATATACCGAATCCGGGGCAACCCCATCCAAAGGGCGAACGAGTTAAAGTACCTTGGTGTTATCATTGACCAGATGCTATGCTGGACGCCCCATCTGAGGAGTGTTCAAGAAAGGACAAACCTCAGGACAGCAGCACTATTGAGACTAGCTAGGCAAGACTAGTCTTGGCAGAGAAGCAATTTGAGCCATTTATAAGATGAGCATAGAACGTGTTATCTGAATGTGGTATTTGGTGGAAGGATTCTGCCAAAGACAAACAGAGCAGGACGCTGGTAGTTGCCTCTGGTAGTCAGCCTTCTACAGAACAATGGTGGAAGGTATAGAGGCTAAGCATTGTAATCATATGTACTGTATCTGGTCAGACTTAGATGTCAGACAGATGTACTAAGAGTCCATCCTGCCCATAGGATTGGACTAGACTGGGATGTAGGTGAACTGACAGACAATGGTGTTGAAATATACACCAATGGCTCTAAAGACGATAGCTTAGTAGGGGCAGCGTACAATGTTTCAATGAATGTTTGAATTACCAATTTCAAACATTAAGTGAAAGCTGTTGAGTTACACTTTGACTGAAAATTCTATGAATAAAAATCTTTTCAGTTTTTATAAATTAACATAAATTGGCAGCTTTAAAAATTAAAATGTTTTTATTATAAAAAATCTTAACATTTTACAAAATTTTGTAAAACTCTTCGTCTACACCCAAATAATCTTTTTATTACAAAATGTCTTCCTAATTTCTGTGGCTTCATTTTCCTGTGGCTCTTCGTCAATGGTAGGATAGGATAATCTGATAACCTTTAAACTATCGATTAACTGGAGAAAATTTAACTGCTCGTTTATTTCGCGACAGGCTATTAGTTTTTGTCTTGCATAATTGAGATAGCTTAAATAAAAAAAAAAAATATGTTTTACTTTATAAAATAGATAATGGAATCATTTGAAATATTATAATATAATAATTTTACCTAAGATTAGAAAATGTCGATAAAATCTTTGTAAGTCCTAGTAATTGTTGGGAACTAAAACGACATCCTTCCATTTCTAATATATAAATGGTGTTTTTCAAAGCCTTTAGAAGTTTTTCAATGCTTCAAAAATAAATTATAAATCTTAATATATAAAATGTAGAAAATAACTTATTAATTATTTTGACCTTAACCTTTTTATTGAATGATTAAAGTTATTATCACTGATATCCAATTCCTTTAGTGTAGAAATGTGATGACTTTCTGCAAGATATTCTATATCTTCCCTGTTCAATCTGCAACCTGACACATTCAAATATTGTAAACCCTGAGAATAGCAGCGATGTCTTTTTGAATGTTTGTTTTCTTCATCATTATGAATCACTACAGAATCAGTTTCTTTAACTCTTGAATCACCAACATGGAATAAAATCATTTTCAGATAACCAGTTAATCTGTTGTTACTTAAATTTAGACGTTCGAGATATTGAAACGATTTGAACATGTCACATAGCAACCATTGCACATTTGAACTTGATGATAAATTAATACTATTATAAGACAAATCCAGTGACGTCAAGTTAAAAAAAAGAACGAGATTATGACTCACCATCTTGATACCTTCATTTGTTAAAGAAGCATATGATAATGATAATCCTTTTAAAATCTGAAAGATTAAAATTTTTTACTTAATTTTAAACAGAAATATATAATGTGCAATTAGTATCAAAATATCTTATTTCAATAAAATATAAAAGTTCTATTTTCTATTGAATTTATCACATAATGATTGTAATTAATTTATTTTATATTAACAAACGCATTTTATTTTTTCTAATAAATTTTATTTAAGAAATTAATTAAATACAGGACATTCAAAAACTTCTTTAAGAATCCAATAATTTTTAGAAAAATACAAAATCATTAATGAGAATATCTATGTAATGTTGCTGAATCTAATGGTGATCATCTCAATAATTATGACCTAATTTTGGAGTCAAATAATAATTAAATTTTTAATTATTGAGGATAACAAAAAATTCAAATTATGAATATTTTAATTCTTGAAGTTAGACTATTTACAAAAACATATTAATATTTTCGAGTCTATCATTAAATCCTTTTACACAAACCACAGAAGACACAGTTATATTGGTTAGAACAGTGTTTTTCAACCTTCTTGAATACGCGACCCCTTTACAAGTTAAAAAATTCTGCCGACCCCCTATGGCCATATAAAAACTATATCAGTGATTTTAAAAACTATGTATTTAATTTTCTCTCTGTTGAGAAATTATTGTTGATTGAAGTGAAAATTTCAGAAGAATCGACAATAACTTAACACATAAAGTATGAAACTTCCTTTAATTATAACATTCAGCACAGGAAGATGTTGACCTTTTTTTTTTTGTTTAGGATCAGAATTTTCAGCTTCTACGTTTCTACTTTTTATTTCTTTTTGCAGATCAGCTCAACACTTTTTCCGCTATCATTTTCTGGGGTGGGCCTTATTTAATTCTTGCTGAAATTGTAGTTTTTTTAATGTAGCGTAGGACCTACAAACACTTGTCTTTTTCTTTTACCCGTGACCCCCAAGGGGGTCGCGACCCACAGGTTGAAAAACACTGGGTTAGAAGATAAAACTTCTTTAAAAGACAAATAATAAAAGGTAAAAATTCACATGTTTAAAAATGATCAAACGCCAACCTTTTATTGTAGGATCTGACTTTTTTACATTAAAAACTTAAGAATCTTCTCACCAACCATCAAGTCCTTTTCCAAATTTTATAACTGGTTCATCCCTCTAGTGGTAGTTAAGAGTCCATCATCATCATTTGCATAAGTTCACAATGTTCAATGTTAACTTCATAATTTGAATAAGTTCACAATGTTCAATGTTAACTCAGGATATTCTTCAATATTTTAATTCTTGAAGTTAGACTATTTACAAAAACATATTAACTAACTACCACTAGAGGGATGAACCAGTTATAAAATTTGGAAAACGGCTTGATGGTTGGTGAGAAGAATCTTAAGTTTTTAATGTAAAAAACGTCAGATCCTACAATAAAAGGCTGGCGTTTGATCATTTTTAAACATGTGAATTTTTACCTTTTATTATTTGTCTTTTAAAGAAGTTTTATCTTCTAACCAATATAACTGTGTCTTCTGTGGTTTGTGTAAAAGGATTTAATGATAGACTCGAAAATATTAATATGTTTTTGTAAATAGTCTAAGTTCAAGAATTAAAATATTGAAGAATATCCTGAGTTAGCATTGAACATTGTGAACTTATTCAAATTATGAAGTTATAGTACAAAATTATTAGACATAAGAACAAATCTCACTTCAATATTGATCAAACTTTCCAAGAAATGCTTTGGTCTTCTATAATGGATTTCCAAATTCCATGCATTTCCTGTATCTATTAAATTAATGTAAAATGTAGTTCAAAACTAAATGAACTGAGATATACACACACAAAGATTACTAGAATTGTTAAAACCAGTTTGGAACAACTCTATGTTGTTATTTGTGATTCAATTGCTTCCAATGAATGTAAATAATAATCATTGGCACAATTCTGGGCTGCAATTTTTAATCATATTTTTGATTTAAATAAATCAAATATATGCTCATCAAATATATAAATCAATATATGCTACAAATCAAATATTTAAAATATATGCTCTTGATTTTAAGTATCATGCTCCTGTACAGTACATCATACTTTTTCTGATAACATAGTGATACTGGTCATATATCTAACTGTTCCTGAGAAAATTTTTGAATTGAATTGAATTGAAACCAGAAGTTCATATGTAGTTAATCAGAGCCTCTTGCCTCTAAACTTTCCATATCTGGTCTCAACTTTCATCTTTCTAACCCCATTATTGAGATTAAAGAACAAACTGTTTGTTTGTTAAGTTATGGCAATGAACACTTGGGTGATCTGCCTAGGGGGATGCCTTCCGGGAGGTCTTTTTAAGGGAAACTGGCCCCTATTTAGGTGCTACAGATGTGGAGAAAACCCGGAAAAAAACCATGTGGCCAGCCCACTGAGCGAGGCGCGAACCCACGACCAAATTCCCAGTGTACAGGGTACGAAGACTGCTCGGTCACTGGTGGGCCAAGAACAGACAGACAGACACCAATGGGAATTTATAGGTCTGCAATTTGAAAACTGCAACCCAATAAGAGTGAAACTTTGTGTCAACATGTCATCATTAGTATATCATACTTATTTATAATAAAATACATTATTTAAAACTGAAAAATATACATATTTTTACCAGCAAAAATTATTGACATTGTCACAATGCCTGGCTGTAATTTTTAATCATATTTTTAGGATTTATTCAATTTAAAATATATCTGATGCTCTCAATCTCAAATTAGTAGTGTCTTGTTCCTGTATATTGTACTTTTCCTGATAATAACAGTATGTTGTAACTAGGAACCCAGTAGCGTAGCGTAGGGAGCGGCAAAATTTCACAATAAATAATAATAATATCTTGTAAGAATTTGAACCATTTTATTTCATATTTTTGTCTACCTACGATTCGGACCAATTGAAATGAGCACAGAATAGTGTTACCACACGACTCACCGTCCGGGGATATTGTGCGCAACCTGTCAACCTTTTTTTTTTTTGGTTGTACGATTCATTCACAATCATATCATATACACCTCCAATATCCAATAGAGCTGGGTCACTTGCGTTACTCCTATCCAAGTCTCCCTAGTCACTAACTGTAACTGATTTAGAACTGACATGCTACTGCAAATTATTCTTTGCATTGCAAAATGATATACGCATGCGTCAGGAACTTCTGTTCGAACAAACCTCACCTGCCATCCGGGTCAATGATTTTAAAAAGGTGGCAATACTAGCACGGAATTTTTCATTACTTATTCTGTGACAAAACTGAATTTTAGTCTTTTAAATTGAGATACCTAAATAAGGGGGCAGCGAAATTTTCCTCCGCTCCAGGTGGCTGATACCCACGCTACGCCACTGTGGGAACCTATTCTGAGCTCTTCCGATAACAAGAGTGATACACGAGTCATTTGATAAGTCCCCTTAGTGAAAGGCAGTTAACGAATCTTAGACAAATCACCATTATGTGCTCTACGTTAAGTAGGTTTTGCTATGGGTAGTTGGTTGAGATGAGTCTGGGTTCCATGCTATCGATAGCTATTATGCTTTAAACAATCACAGTTTAGTTAACATAGTATTTTTGTCACATGACTGCAACCTGCCATTTTCTAAGTGAAGCACGTGGTTTTAGCATTGTCGTGTAGCAGCATTAATGAAGTAGTTTTTACTTTTGTTTTAAAATGTCTAAAAAGAGCACAATGAAGCCAGCGAACCACAAGTCAGCAGTTCAAGATGCTTGTCAATTTTATCGAAGAACACCCTAAATCAGTGTTTTTCAACATTTTTGAATACGCGACCCCTTTACAAGTTAAAAAATTCAGGCGACCCCCCTTAGGGCCATATTAAAACTATATCAGTGATTTAAAAAATTATGTATTTAATTTTCTTTCTGTTGAGAGAAATTACTGTTGACTAAAATGAGAATTTAAGGAGAATCGACAATAACTGAAGACACGTATATTATGTTCCTTTATTCCTTCTTATAACAACAATGGGTTCGGAATGCTGTTGATTATTTTTTTTAGGATAAGGGTTTTTCACTTCTACTTTTCTACTTATTATTTCTCTTTACAAGTCAGCTCAACACTTTTTCGGCAATCATTTTCTGGGGTGGGCCGTACCCACCCAGGCCCCTCCCAGGCGACACCCATCATTCGGATCTAGATGACAATCAAAAAACCAACTATACTATATAATAAACAGGTACAGCCTTCTTGCTAAAATTGTAGTTTTTTTAATGTAGTGTAGGACCTACAAACACATGTCTTTTTCTTTTACCCGCGACCCCTTGTGTAAGGCTTTGCGACCCCCCTGGGGGGTCGCGACCCACAGGTTGAAAAACACTGCCCTAAATTAATGTCAGGGAAATCAGATTCTTTGTTTACTGCAAAAGATCACCAGAAATTGTGGCAAGAAATAGCCGACCGTCTGAATTCTGATGGAGTCGGCTCACATAAAGATCCGGAAAAATGGCAAAAAGTAAATGTTAGTCATATATTTATATATTCTGCATGTTTAGTATTTTAAATAATTTACTGGGTCAATTTTGTCAGCCCATCCGTTAAGCAAATATTGTTTTTAAAAATTAAAATTTATATGATAGTCATTTATGTATAGTGTATAGTTTACTGTAAGTCACATATATAGAATGAATTTTTTTTACTAAACTAATGAATTAAAGCCAACATTTAAACTTAGATAAAATCTACAAAATAAAGATTTCTATTATTACATTCTGCTAACATTTTATAATTATACAAAGTATGTCTAAGTTTCTTTGTATATTTCTATATAATTTCATGTAATTAATGTATTTTTTAGTTCATTCATTAAGAATAAAATGACAAACTTAATTTTTCCACAATTTCTGCTGCTATAAACCTTATAACCAAATTAGAATTAGTATTATGATTAAATGTCAAATGCAATACATATTATTAAATATAAACATTATTTGCATAGACTTGGAGTGACTGGAAGGCAAACATTAAAAGTAAAGCCTCACAAATAAAAAAATCATCATTTCAAACAGGAGGTGGGCCTTCACTTAATCAAAAATTAACTGAAGTTGAAGAGAGAGTTTTAAATTTAATTGGTATAACTGCTGTTTATGGAGAATCCCAAATTGATGAGGCAGGAGTTCAGGTAATAAAAATCATATTGAAATTAAAACATGCTTATTAAACTACAGTAATTATAGGAACTGTATGTATTATAGGAACCAAATGGTGCACAAGGGTTGAGTGAAAGTGCACAAGACTTATTAAACTGTATGATTGACAATACTAATTCTTGTGTACAATAAAATGATTCTACTTGTATAAGTGAAGAATATCCATCTAATCAAAATGCATATTTCGAACTGCCTTCAAGTGATGATTGCAACCCAACTGATTGTCTACATTTGAATACTTCACTAAGAAATGTTAACAGTAAGTGGATATATTATTTTGCAATATTAAGTATTTAACAGATAAAAAATAATTTTAAAAAATTTATGACCAGGAAAAAAAAGGAAACATGAAAAATCTGTTGGGAAATGTATGGCAGAAAGCCTTAAGAGAACAGAAGATGAAAAGTTGCATATTTTAAAAAATATACAACAAGCAATGAATGAAATGGCAAAAAATTTTGAAAGAAAGGCTGCTGCTTTGCATGAAATTGCTGCTTCATTAAGGAACTCTATAACAGAAGCAGAAAATCAATAAACGATTTTACAATAAAAAAGGCCCTTTTCAGGACCATTCATTTGTGATAAAGAGTAACCAAATCTATTTTCAACCAATATATTATTACAAAGTAAATTTCACATTTCAGGAAAGTCTTTTAACTATTTACTTTATGCAAAATTTTAATTTATTTTACAAATTACTAAAATATGTTTCTTCTAGCAACAAAGATGGTTACTGGTTTCATAAGTCATCTGATATGAAAAGTTCCATTTATATACTAGATAATTATTGCATATCATTCTGTGCAAAATAAACATTATGTTCATTTTAATTATTCATATGTATTTTGTAAAAATTATTTGTCACTAAATATGTACAAGTATTTTATAAATTTTAACCATTAAAAATATAACAATGTTTTATTTCAGTATAGTACAAATGCTGCTATTGTTTAAAATTTACAGAATATAAATCAGTCAAATATAAGAATTATATCATTTTTTATTTATTGTAAATAATTATAATTACACAGCTATTATACAGTGTAATTTTTATTTACATATTTACATGAAATGGCTCCTGAAGAGTCGTTTTTGAATTTCTCTGGCTTTGTTGCCAAATGAAACATCATCTCCAAGTCTGGATACTGTGTGTTCCATTTCTCCCATCATTCCATCATATAAATCTATATTCTCATCAATAGAAATTTTATGTACTATGCACATATTGTGTAAAACAACACATGCATTAATTATTAATCCAGCTTTATAAGGTGAATAATTTAACACCCTGTGCTCGTGTAAACATCTAAATCGGGACTTTAGAAGTCCATTACATTGTTCTACAATGATTCTCGTTGATGTCAAGCTGCTATTATAGTTTTGCTCATTTTGTTGCTGAGCATCTAATATAGGTGACAGAAGCCATGGTTCCATTGGATAGCCACTATCACCTATAAAAAGTAAGAAAAAAATTTTGATAAATGAATTTTGCCATACTTTCATATATATTCATTCATTCATTCATTCATTTATTTTAAATATATACATGTATGTATATATTTATATTTAAAATAAAGTGAAATAAAAACCATAGATGTTAATAAAGATAGTTAAAATATATTTTAAAATAAAGACAATTGACATATGATACAAAGATATTGCGTAACCATGGTCTTCTCTACCTTGTTTTGATTAAACTTTTAATATTTTTACTGTTCTATTTACATGTAATAAATCAAATATTCTAAACTTTCATGAGTACAAGTGAAAATATCAATATATTCATTTCACATACAACTTCAGTACCATCATTTCTAATAAACTAAGTGAATACAGTATTACCATGTAATTTGTAAAATAAAATAACTAAAAATAAATCAACTATTACTCGATAAACATATATGAAGCATTATTTAGAAAAGTCTAAGAAATATGTAATATTCAATATCAAAAATCTGTTGGTTTAATTTAACTAACCTATTAACCAAGCATTGTTATTCGTTTGGATTCTTCCCTCTATAAAAGCTCGTCTTAATTAATTAATTAAAAACCCCTTAAGCCCCAAACCTGAGATTTCTCGGGCAAGTTACATAGTGTTACATAAAATGCGGTCCTTAAAGCCATTTTTGATTTTTTTTTGAATTTTTGGAATGTTTTTTAAGTCTCCAAATTTATTCAAAATTTTTTTCCTGCGCGAAATAATTTTATCGCGATTTTAATTTACCTTTAATGACGCGTGCTTCGTGCTTAATTGCTTAATTGCTTTTTAATAGTTTTTTAATGGGAGTTTGATATCAAATTTCATTCATCGTTCTAAAGTTGTAGTGCACTGATTTTCCTTCAGTAAAGTTATTTAAAGCTAGTTTCTGATGTCAAAAACGACCTCCGATAGTTTTTTAATTAATAGATTTTATTATATATAAGTTTAATTAAGTCGTGGGGTCGGAATCTCAATAAAAATTTTAATTTTTAAAAAATATTTAATAATATAGATCTAGTTAGTATTCACCCTACTTTAAACCCTTCTCCTCCCGAGACGTCTATGAGAATGTCCCGGGAATTACAACACCAGCTGTTCTCAAGGTCATCCAGCTGTGTAAACAATGACTCGTCAGTGTCAAATTTCACAGAAAGACAAGACAAAGGAAAATAAAATTTGAAGCTTTTTCTTCAAAATTAAGGCATTTCTTTTGTTTTTTTCAGTTTTAAGTATTTTTTATGTTTAATTCATTAAGTATTTATACATTCATTTTTCTATACATAAAAGAAAATTAATTCCATATTACTCTGAATACATATTTTATTTTAAACTTTGCTAAATGATTATTACTCTTTAATTATAAATACATTATAAAATGTATCTTATGTATAGTATATTTTATAATTGATTACTATAATTTAAAATTTATACTTTTATATATAGTGAAAGCAGTAAATGTTAATATTAATTAATTAATGTATCAAACTATAGTGTATAAAGTTTAATTTCTTCAAAGCTGCAGCTTACATTGTATATATAAGAAAAAATGTTTATTCAAAATTCTTGTTAAAAATTAACTTCAAAACTGTAACCTGCATATACTAATCTCCATGAAACTTTTATATATTTATATTCAAAGCTATCATTTTAATTTATACATATGCAAATGAAACCTATTTCAGAAATAATGTTCATGCTATAGATACTTACTTTAAATTTGAACAAAAAAGCAATTATTCATAAATAGTTAAGGTAGTTAATTTTAAGCAATACAACAACTTAGTTTATTAACATTAAGCTACTTACTTTTATTTCTGCAGATAGAACATTTTTCTTAAAACACTTTGGCTCTAACATATCTCGTAATTCATTATATATATATAACTAATGGTTTCGGAAGACGATAAAGTTGTTTAAACTGTGTATCATTCAGCTGAAAAGCATCAGCTCAAAGATTAAACTGAGATTCGTGACGTCGAATTCTAATTTCCTCTCTCTCCAATTGTTCGTGAAGTAAAATCATTCTCACACTGAACGACGCCATGTTGTTTTCACTTTTGTTACGTTCCTAACGGCAGCTAGAGAGTGACCAATAACAAAAGCTTAGTTATTGCTTGTGGCTATCGGTAACAAAAACAAAACATACGGCTTGGAATAGCATTTTCACAGTTGATTAAACGTGAATCACGTGGTTCCGATAGAAACTGGTTTTTATCGTATTCGTTAGATTAATGATACTACTCAGAATAGGTCCCCTGTTCTGGAAAAAATTTTTGAATTAAAATTATGTGACTTCGAGTCCAGACCAGAAGTTTGTATATAGTTAATTGGGGCCTCCTGCCCCTAAGCTTTCCATATCTGGTCTCGACTTTCATCTATCTAACATTGTTCTCAAGATTAAGAAAGGACAGATAAAAAACAGTGGGAATTTATAGATATACAATTTTTTCATATTGTAGCCCAATAATTATTATGTACTAACTATTCAACATGGGAAAAAAAATTCACAAAAATACAGTAATTTGCTAAATAAGAAAGACTTTCTTTTAAATGGTCAAGCTATGAACAAGTAAATTATTGATATCAAACAGATAAATATTTCAATAAATTAATTTAATAGGCTTAATATTTAAAATCTGCAATTACAAAATATTTGAAATTCTAAATAAAGTAAATTTAAAACACTTTTTGGGAATTGCTCCCTAGGAAAACAAGTTTATAGATTTATTATTTATAAACTTAAATAAGTAATTTTAAAGTTATTATTTCTGTATTCAAAAATATAATTTTTTCAATGATAATACTTACGTAAGTTTGTAATGAGTTTAACAGAGATTGAAGTGAGTCAATGAAAAGTCCGGATAATCCTACTTTACAGAATTCCAATTTCAAAGGTGAAGCACGAACTTCAGTCGACTGAAGCATATACAATACAAGTTCAGATGTTTTGGAAATGATGCCATCTATTTTTATTTTATCTGAAATAATGACATTTGTAAATATTGAGTTTTAAAAATAAATACAGTAAAACTTGTCCAAAACAGAATCTGAAGAAGAAGATTAAAAAAAAAAAAGACTTTGAAGCAGAGTACTTTTCTATATTATAAACGGTGTTCCATTAACTTGTGCACTACTTGTGTTCTGTGTGGTTGGTGAACATGAAAATTAGTCTCAAATCAAGTCTCAAAGTGTTTTGAAGATCATTAGTCTTAAAAGCTTCAGAACTCTAACAGAAACTTAAAATCTAATATGCACTAATGAGACTTTCAACAGTCTAAATTTTTGTAAAAATTTGATGTATATTACAAGTTCTGACATAGTTCTAAGAATCTTGAAAGATGTTGATAGACAATAAACAGAAATGATTCCTTGAAAGACAATATAGTTCCCCCCCCAGAATAATATATGAACATTAAAGGTTGAAGCCAGAAGATATCTTTAATAAAATTCTTCTTTAGATTAAAAAATTTAAATAGGATCATTGTTAATAAATTATTTTGCATCAGAAAATAATAAAGACATAACTTACATGGAAATGATGGAATTTTTGGCTGATTATCTAAAATTAAATTAAAATCCAATTTTGTTTTACATCTCACATTAAAAGGACAATCATTCTGATAATAATAATTTCTGCTTTCACCATAATGTAGTAGATTTTCTTTTCCCATAAAATAGTTTATTTTTTCTTCTCTTATACCACAACTTAGTAAGATAACTTTAATAATATAATATATTTTATCATCACCTGAAATATGTAAAATATCAAGTAATTAATAAGATTAATACTTAGAAAAAAAATTTTTATAAATCAACAGAGTATATAATTATTTTATTAATATTTATTTACTTTATTATTATTTTATTATATTTATTAATAAGTTTTATGAGTTTTTCCAATTAATAACTTTACATTTAATTACAATTTCTTATGTATATTTTTATCAATGGTTTTAAGATAAATAAATTTTATCATCTAAAACAATAATTCAAAAGTTAATAATCAGAATATTCTGCCTTTTTTAAACAGAAATCAAAGACATCAGTTTTTGGAGTTTTTTGAAAACATTTATATTCATTTAGTAGTTTTTATTAATAAAAATCATTGGTTTTGAATATTAAGCCCAAAGAACAAATCAAAAACAGACTGCACAACTCCATAGGAAGTATAAGGATTAGTGTAACATTAACAACACAAGACCCCATGATTTATTTGAGATTGTTTATTTGTAAATTTACAAGTTGGAAGCAAAGTACTTCCAAAAATACTAATTAATTTAAATAAAAAAATTATTCAGGTGAATATTGTCTTCCTGTCAGTGATAAAGGAATTAAATGATATATTTTATTGATTCATAAGTTATGATTTTTCCAACAAAATATCTTCAAAAATCTTAATATATCAAGTATAGATAATTAAATTACCATAATTTTGTATGGATACCCAGCAGGTTATCTGTGTTTATAAGATAATTTGAAAGGGGATGCAGATTATGGAGCAGGCTATACTTGTAAAAACACAGTAGTGTTCTATTGTATCTTAATTTATTGAGCACAAATTTTTATGTCCAAGTGTTCAGAACTTAGTAGTAAATATTGGTGAAAACACCCCTGTGACACATGATATTGAACTAGTATGACAAGAAGGATTAGATACCTTGATTACTATGAGAAGAAATATGTTTTTTTTTTTTTACTAATTACAACATTAATATTTGGCTTGAGCTTAATAAAAATTTAATAATAAAACATTAGATTTTATTTATTTTCTGACTAATAATTAACAAATAACAGTAAGTTAAATATTTCGTTCAGTTTTCCAGTGTTTTTCAAATTTTTGATACACCATTACTTTATTCATATTTTTTCACATTTTCACTCTTACTAACAGTACTTCATTTATCTGGTATAGTTTATTTTATTATCATTAAAAACTGTAATTATTTTCAATACAATATTTTTAATTTATTCCATTCCTCATCTGACAACATATTATTGATATTATTTTTTTTAAACAAAACTAAAATAGATTGATTTCTTAAAATGGAATATTTTGTATATATTCAATAAAACATTCAGTTAAAAGAATGTTTATATAATCTCTCTTTATCACAAAAAAAAATTTTAAGCTTTTTTACTTTCATGTGAGACTCAGCCTTGTTTACTTACTTAACAGCCTGACCTAAATCTTTAACGATACCATTTTATTGTTTAAAATATCAAATTTTACATCTGGGAGTTAATCACTCAGCAAGTTCTCAGTCGCTAAAGAACGCGTTCTCATAACCTCTCGAGCTATTGTTGCAAGTTTGTCAAATGAATATAGCAACAGACCGATGTTTGGGGTAGTCGCTGCTCGTTCCTCCGACACATGGTTACAGTCGTCACCCAGTCCTCTAACAGAAGTTGTCAGCTCCAACCCTTCATGTTCGTGCTGTGTCTCCTATTTGGATTAACTTCATCACCAAACGGACTTATTAAGTGCCTAATATAATGTCAGATTAACTATAACTTGAATTAACATCATCGCCGAACCAGAACACTTGATTAAGTCGTCAAGAACCTCAAGACCTCCTAACCAGATCCAAATATGAATCAACCAAACTCCAGGTATTTATTGCCACGCAAACTATTGTAAACTCTCTCTCTCAATAATGCTCATTTAAAGCCTACTATCAAAACTAAAGACACATTGTAAGACATGTATTGCCTATCATTACCCATTAAATGGTTGTTATGTTAATCTAGTCTCTGAAGGAATCACTTCCAGTGCACTGCCTCTCACTCCATCCCAAATCAGATCGCCCAGAAACGCGACTGCTCGCGTGACCTATTTCCAAATCACTGTCTCAGTTTCCAGGTCAATCAAGATCTGGTGGTGTCTATCCGGACAAGGCATCGAGGAGGTGTTGACCCTCCGGTGACATATAGGATGTTCAAATGAGCATACAACTCACTAGTAGTAATATGAGGAGTCTGGCAATGTTTTAGTTCAGACTTAGTAATGCTATCAGCCAAGCAGTGTAGTAAAAATCTGACTTGTTTACAGTGTTCCATCAAGTCTGACTCTAAATATCACAAAACTCTTCTACTGGTATTACTTGGGTTATATTTTTGTTTTAGTACGCCATATTATATTTTGTGTGTATACATGTTTGTGTATATAAAATGCAAAATAATCAATCACTCTTAGCAATCTTATACCTTCCATTCAATTGAATATTCCATTTCAACTAATTAGAAAATTCCCATTCTTGTGTTAAAATACAAAAATCTATCAACAGAAGATTTCTTGCTAATTACATCAACCTTACACATAATTTCTGATAGAAGTTAATTTTAAAACATACCTATTGGAAATCCTTGAAGATCCAAAATTCTCAGTTTTGATTTTGATAATTTTGAATAATTACTTAGATAATTCATAAAACTATTAATAAGAGCAGAGGTATACATTTGTTGTTGCTGTAAATATAAGTGATTTGTTTCATCGTAGATACCCCTAATATGGGGATAAACTGGTTTCACTAATGATGAAAGGCAAAAAATTGGATCTGACCATACATTTAGCAAGATATGAATAGATGGAAGATTTCCTGAAAGAATACAAATAATTTTAAGTTAATGGGAAGATAACAGTAATTTATATTCCTAAACATTAAATTATGTGTTACTAGATTAATATATAAAAAAATGTTTATATACAATATTCACATAACCATACTTAACAGAAAAATAATCTGGATTATTAAATATTTATTTCTGAGAATTGTGCATGACATTCAAAACAAACTTGATTTTTCATTTACAAGCATGTTTTGAATTGATATGAATTTATTCCAAATGACTAATATAATTTTCTTATAAAAGAATATTTTTTATAATGCATTATTTAGCAGATGCAGACCATTTACATTTTGAAGAATCAATTATTGTTATTATTTTTTCCTACATGGAATTTATATGGTTGTCTAGTATTATGCTGGACAAAAGTCAAGGTATAACTATGGCAAAATGTTTTGTTTATATGCTATTTGCATCTGTGTTTAAGAATTTCCTGACTATGTGACATGTCTAGAAAAAACATATGTGTGACAGCCTTCTGCATTATGTATATGTGCTTTTGTGAAGTCCTGATGTTTCAAGACATTTGTGTAGTGTATGTGGTATGACATACCATTGGCACAATAAGTACAGTACTTTATCTATTCTCTACAGATACTTATTTCCTGAGCAAATACTGAGTATTTAATAATTTTTTCAGTCTATGTATTTTGTATGTTGTAGGTGTTTGGCATAAATATGTCTTAAATATGATTTTGTTTTGTTTGTCAGTGAATGTAATATTGTGATGTTTTGTCTATGATTATGACTAGTTACAGTGTGTTGTTTTCTATGACTGACTGAAGTGTGTACTTTTAGTATGGTTCCTGGCTTTTAGTAGTTCGTGTTTGCATGCAATGTTTAATACATTATATTGCTATTTGGTTATGTTGATACAGTAATCAGTTAAAAGCTTACAACCTGATGTGATGTACAGTTTCATGCATAATATGGCCTTTCCTACAAGTGTCATCTGTGAGTGTTATGTCTTTTAAAATGTGCTTCCTGTAGTGCTTTGTATTTAAGAGCCAGTCTTTTTGGCAATTATGAACTCTTCCTTATCTCCAAAGATACATTCATGAGTTAGCCAGCAGTTTGAAACAGTTCTATCAATGTTCTTATTACTGTTGTTATGTATATTTAATACACAAAAAATTTTTAAAAGAATGTTTAATCCATTTAATTCTTTATGTATTACATTATAATATATATATATATACAAGATTATATATTACAACTTTATAGTCATATAGAAATATTCCTTTCTTAAAATAAACATACCATACATGTTGACAATCTTTTCAAGATAGTTCTCCATATTTAACAACTGACAATAATGAACTAACATTAGTTTAATCATATCTTTCAAACTATTCATTGTAGTAATTTATGAGCCTGTAGTTAATGTTAAATTATAAATAACTGCATTTGTATTGTTTAATTGATCTATAAAAAAATATGTTAATTAAATATGTTATATTTTATTTTGATATTAATTATTATTAAATAATTTAAAATTTGATGTTTTAACTAATGTATATTGTGTTTATGAAGAAGGTATATGATGGATTTTTGTCATATGATGTACAAATATTTAGGCACAGCTTGTTAAATCATATTAAATACTTATGAAATATTCTTGAAATACAGTATGTGGCAAAAAAATCAAAAAAAGTGTTTTTTGTCGCAGGTGAATGAATGAAGAAGAATCCATTTTTGAAGATGATTATTCTCCTAGTTAAGTAGTTCATTGCTGAGCTGTTCAAGAACTGGCACCCTAAATATGCAATGGTATCATGCATGATACCATTGCATGTAATCAAATGTAATCAACAAATTCAAATCCAATGGCAGTATTGAGTACCAATGAACAGTATAAACACTACAGTTGAAGCAACATCACCATTTGTTACAGCATCTATTGCAAAAAAGTTGCAGAAAAGTCTTCAACATCTATTAGTCAACACTGGTGTGAGTATGAGAAGCATTTGGGTGCATTCCAAAGAAACAATTAGCTTCATACATGTTGTAATTGCTTTATTATATAGCAGAGAATAATCCAGATTGATGCCTCAAGTTTTCTGAATGGGCAGCAGCCCAAATTAGAATCTGACAGCAAACATATACTTGGAGATGTTGAAAAATACTGTCATGCCATTAGTCCTGGATAAGGATGTGATTTTCCACAATATTTTCAACACAATGGTATACACCCTCATTATGACACTCTTTTGTTAGATGTTGGTGAATCAATTTCCTGGATTACAGATATGTCATTGTGGACTGATTGAATGGCCCATGTAATTCCATATCTCTCTTTGTTGGATTTCTTTTTTTTTTTTTGAAGATACTCAAAGGCCATTATTTATCAGCAGAAAATTAATGATATCAAACATATAAAAAGGAGAATGAGGCCTGTGACATTATATCATCAAATATACTGTCATAAATCTGAGCGGAAAGATATATAAGCATGTATAATACATACTGGTGAACATATGCAACTTTGTGCATTTTGCTACATATGAAGACTTTTGCCACACACTATATAAATACATATATGATCTATATAAACAAGTTAAGTTTCAGTTTTGCTTCAGTTAAAAGTTTGAATGTAATAATAAAGTAAAGTGAAAAGAAACTCAGACAAATGTTTCATTACTTTATTTATTAATAAATAAATACATTTTTTACTTTCCCAACTCTATTATATATAACAGAGAGAAAGTATGGTAATCAGTCAAAAAATGACCCACTTTCAAAATTTTTTACATTTTTGGACTCAGGGAACCTTGAAATATCAAGAAATGCAAATAAATTTCGGGTTTTTTTTCTGTATTTATGGATGTTAGTGTATGTATATGTGTGGCACAATTTTGTTCACCCTCTTTGAAGCTTAATAACTCCTGTACCTTTTGTCAAAAATTTCTGAAATTTCGTAGGGAGGTTTGTGTTTTAGGGGGATTGACACTATTAAATTTTGGTGGTTAAAGGTTGCTGAGGTGGGGAGATAAAGGGAGTCGTGTGTTATATCTCGAGTAGGGTCAAACTTAATGACAATTTTACTTGTTATTAGCATTTAAAATTTTTCATAAAACCCATCAGTACCCTCAAAATTAAGCTTTTTGACATTTTAAAAAATATAAAAATTTTTTAAATAAAATATAACAGATGGCATCACAAAATTTTAAATTTTCCAGGAAAGTTAAGCAACTCGTTGCTGAAGTTTTTAATTTGTTATGAACATGATGTCTGTGATAAATCATCATTAATTGATTAAAGCATCAAGTTTATTTTGCAGTCTCTTCACTTGAATATGAATCTGTATCATGAGTTGGGTCCAATAGATCTCTGGGATCTGTTCCAATGTTTAGTCATCCTTATTATAAAACCTTGAGGGGTTTTTGTTTCCCATCCAGTTTGATAGACAAATTTATGGTAATCCCAAAACTTTTTCAATTGGATGGAGCTGGAAAACATTGGATAGGATATTTTCTTTAACCACAAAGTAAATTCCGAATTCTCTTTAACTTAACCTCAATTAGTTTCTGTCTAATTTTAACTTTGCTTGTATCTGAGTAATCTGAACTAAGTCCAAAAGACACATCCAGTCATGTTAGGATAATGTTCATGTATGTAAGGAACACAAACTTTTCAATACATTCTTGAATGTGGACTTCAGAGTTAATGAACCTTTCAATTCCATGAAAAATGGGTCAATGTGTCCTTTTACCCCAATTGCCATCCACAACAACATCTTTTTGAATTTCTTGGTTGGAAGTGGTTTGGTGAATTTCTTTATAGAATATCTGGTTGGACGAAGTGTGTGAATGAGTAATATAACTCATTGTTCATAATAACATCAGGTTAAATGGTCTGTCTTGTCCCTTGACAAAGCTGGACAGACCTGACAATTTTCTTGATCTGGATTTACTTTAGGGGCTGTCCTTTGGTTCCTGTGCTCCCATTTCATTTCCTCCACTATTCATTTCATGGTTTTATAAATCCACTTCAAACTTTTCACTAGTGACCTGTAGTCCAGTCCAACTTTTTACTTCAAATCTCTAGAAAGACTTCCATTAGTTTCTGTCTAATTGTACAGTACATTGGGTCATCTTGCAATTGCTGTCTATGATTTTCTTCCATTCTCAAGCTGTTCTGAAATCTTTTCAAAGTATCAGAAATCCTGCTTTGAGCATATCCTTGGGCAGTAAAGTGAATGATATAGCTTTCATCATATTTCCCCATACATATATAAGCATTACAAAAAAAAAATATGTTTTTATATTTAATTTTTAATTTTAATTTTAACAAAAACTCTATGAAAGATAAATTTTTAACAGTATAAAAAATTAATAAATTTCTAAAACTAGATAAATCATAAATAAATAAATGATTGATTACATTTATATAATAATTACTTATTCAATGCATAACTTTTTAACATACATTACTTTTTGTTTTTGTAATGAAGTAAGCAAAACTGAAAAATCAACATGTTTATACAGTTCATACAGCACAGTTATCATTATTTGACAATTATTTGATGTTTTTTTATTAATACAAACATCAAGTTCAATAGTGAATTTCTATCAATATAAAATTTTAATTATTTCTTATTACAGTGGTACTTCAGGATATGAAATTAATCCATTTCAAAACTGAGATCGTATCCTGAAAATGTCATAAGATGAATCATTTTTCCCCATACAGTTACATGTAAAAGCAAATAATTTGTTCCAACACGAAAAACACACTCAAATTAAAGCTAAGTAGTACAGAAAAAAAAATAACTATAGTAAGGAAAACACTGAAAAATGTGTTTTATAGTTGTAAATGTATAAATAACCATAATAAAATAATAATTGATAAAAAAAATGTAGTTTTATTTGCACTTTACCTTTGAGGATATACGATAGTGGAGGTGTAAACTGGTGGCAGAAGAGAGGGAGAAGAGAAATGATGCTAAAACTTAACTTACATAACACAATGTAACAATAACTTAGAAAAGATATATAAAACAATACTAATTTTTTAATATTTTCTAAGTTACTTTTAAGTTATTGTTACATTATGTTATGTAAGTTAAGTTTTAGTATCATTTCCCTTCTCCCTCTCTTTCGCCATCATTTTACACCTCCACCGTCGTCTATCCTCAAAGGTAAAGTGCAAATAAAACTACATTTTTTTTATCAGTTATTATTCTATTATGGTTATTTATACATTTACAACTACAAAATTCATTTTTCAGTGTTTTCCTTACTATAGTTTTTTTTTTTTTTAATGTACTACTTAGCTTTAATTTGAGTATGTTTTTCACATTGGAACGAATTATTTGGTTTTACATATAATCATATGGGAGAAAATGATTCACCTTACGACATTTTCATGATACAATCTCAGTTTCGGAACAGATTAATTTTGTATCCTGAGGTACCACTGTATACTCTAAAATATTAAAAGCACCTTCTTATTTTGATGATATGAAACCGTGCTTTACAATTTGTTTATGCTTCTAACACAATAAAGTGTTATAAATTAAGACACATGGCGGGTTTTCTCATCTTTATTTAGTTGATACGTGTGAAAATTTTTACACGTTTCGGGCTCTTAAGCCCCTCTTCAGCCAACTAAAACATTAAAAAAGAATATAACATACATATAAAAACACAAGTATTGTAGAAATCATNACGTAAAGTCGTATGGTGAGTTTTTGTTCGTACCGTGGAGCAAAAATATGTTTGAATTTCATGTCGTATCCTGAAAATTTCGTATGCTGGGGCATTCGTATCCTGAGGTACCACTGTAACTCTATATCAAATGTCCTGATGAAATTTTTCACCCAAATATCTGGTTGTAACTTGTTTGATGTTCTTTTTGTTATGTTGGACTCTGTTATTATTCACATGAATGTGGAAGAGTTGTCTGTTACAAAAAGAGTTTAAAAAATTGGACATAATTAGATGATTCTTAATTCTTATATTATTACAAATCATCTATGATCTGCACAAGTTGATATTCCTAATTAAATGATAAATTTTTAATGCTTTAAATACATATCAATCAAAATTACATTTAAGCAAACATTTCAAATATAGTTATAATTTCATATTTATAAAGTAAGTTTTACCATTCTTTAAAGCAGACTTCATGAGAGCTGGATAAAAAGAAGTTGGAATATACGGAAACATTTTCTTAAAAAACTGTCCATCACTGACTGCTACATCACAGCAACATTCAAATAAAGATAAAAAAGATGAATGGCAATCAACATTAAGTAATTCATAATCTACTTCTTGAAGAACTTGATTCCAGGAATGGATGTGTGAACTGTTTAGCAAACTCATTTTCTTTCATAATCAAATCAATTGCACTGTGTGAAAAATAACCAATATCAAAATTCTGTATATAGTATTATTATTATAAAACTATAATATAAATTTTTGACATTAATAATTTTAGCTTTATTACAATTAATAAATTATATAAAACTATATGAAGCGCACATTATATGAATAAAAAGTTAATTATTTCTTTTATCATTTTAAAATAAAATTTTAAAAATGTTAATTACAATTTTTCTAATAAAATTTAACCTGCAATTATAATTTAAAGATCTTTCTAGCATATATTGAAATACAGGTATTCATCGTACAACACTACTTCTGATTTTGCTCTAATACAAGTTTGGAAATCTTCCATACAAAATTTTTAAGTGTAAACTTTGTTATTCAATATATATATNAATAAATAAAATATATATATATATATATATTTTTTTTTTATTTATTCAAGTAAGCACGCACGTTATCTCAAATTTGCCCATGGACTTTAAAATATTGAAATTTTCAAATTATTCTGTGCTTTCATCAGGTTAACTTTATTGAAAACTAATAGCACAAGGAAGAAAATAATTGCACTAACTTTCCTATCAACCAGGTGTCATTGTTGTTGCTTTCAGACTTTAGCCCTTAAGACTGTCACTGTGTTTTCTTTTTATAGATTAATCTTCTAAAATTTATTTAAAAATTTCTAGCTAAGTGTTATTAAACTTATTTTTAACTGTAGATAAGCAATTAGTCGTAAAATGACAAACAAAATACATCAGTATCTTGGTACTTGAACACAAATTCTAGGAAAAAGTTGTTTGGTACTCGACTGAACAAATGCAACCCTCTAGAACAGATTTTTGATTAACAACATATTTTTATTTTGTCATCCATAAAAATTTTATATGATAAAAATAAAAAATATAAAAATGTTGCTGATACTCCTGATCAAGCTCAACAATGAAGCTCACATAACAATATTTTGTAAAAAAGAAAACACCCTCATTTAAAATAAAATTGATGTGTAATACAGTTTTAATTGTTATTGTTAATTATTAATTGGAAATAAATTATCGATTGCTTTAATAAGCATATTTCTCTTAGTAATGAAAAAGAATAGTATACTTTTCGCTAACTTCTGGAATGTAACCCTATGTTTTGCATTATTCCTTTGTTTCGTATGGTACAAATTTGCATAAAACAGCACTTTTTTGGAATGTAACTATCGTGTTATACAAGGAATACCTTTATACAAATTTAGGGTAACTTGAGTTGTAGACATCTGTAACAAATACAATTTGAATAAACATGTGTAAATTCTGAAAAACTTATTTTTTTCACCCAATCTTATAAAAGAGAAAATAAATATTTTCAGAGCATTTGTATAAGCAATAGATAGCAGTATAAAAGTGGTAAGACTGTATTCTGTCAATGATGAAAAACTTGTGGCATATCGAAAAATAAGATAGTCTTGTTGAGTTCCAACTTTTGCATGTTTTATTGAATTAAATTTATTCTTCTTTAGTTTGTGACTGTTCATGTAGCCCATTTTTTGAGTGTGCGTGCCTATTTTCTGTTTCATAAAGTGACAACTGCATATGACTTTTTTTATGTTGCTTACTTTTAAACTCATTTGGGACAGCTGAAATTAAGGGGTAAAAAAGCATTGATGTGGAAGATGCTATCCCTTATGGCTACATCTTTGCAGTAAGTTGAAACTATCTTTTTACCTATTGAAGAAAATGCTATTGTAATACCTACATTGTATTAGATGACATCTAACAATCTACGCAACAAGGGTATTAGAAATGTTACGTGGTTGTAGGTAGAACACCTATAACAACAGACTAATCTGAAATATATTTTTTTTAATTCTAGGAACAGTTCAGTTATTAAACTAGATGTTATCTTTTATGTTTTGCGTGTCAGCTTATTTATTTCAGAGTTTCATGTTCCTGACAGTATAGGAAAGACATTGTCTGCAAATGCCTAAGGCACTGATGCCAATATTACAGTGATGTTACTACTATTAAGCACAAGTTAAGCAATGCTTATGGGCCCATAAAATAAGGGAGCTCACTGTTTCTACAGAAAAGTATAAATGTGAAATTATTTTTAATTATATAAGAAAATTATTAGTAAATTTTTAGTATTTGTTCTGATTAGGAACAGTTAATTTTAAACAAACAAATACTATTTATTTTAGACAGTTTTTAGTTTATTTTTCCTATTACACTTATCATTTTTCAACAGTGCAAAATGACAATGCTTTACACTATATAGTATTATAATACTATATTACAAATAATACTAATAATAACAAGAAAAAATTTACAAATAGCTGTTTTGTTCTGGAACTGTTTTATTGTTTTTCTCAGAAACATTGCACTCAGCTGTTTTGAAAAAAAAAATGTGGTCTGATTGTATTTAGCCAATAATACAATAGCAGAAAGTATGCTGTCCAATGGCATCACTTATACATTTAACAAAAATAGCAGCCCACCCGTTTCGGTACTATTTCAGGATCAATGTGCCGATTAGATTTAATTCATTGTTAGTTCAGTAGGTGTGTATATATATATATATGTGTGTGTGTTAATGTTTTGATAAAAAACTTTAATAAATGTATTCATCAAACAGACTCAAATTTATCATCATAAAGGTAAATATTATGAAATATAAATAAATTAGTTATCGATTCCGAGTACTTCAGGATTGTTCCACAAACCAAAATGTCCCAGAATTATTCAGAACCTAAAAAGAAATGAACATTTTGTGATCAGTATCAGTACATTGCTTTACTTGTTCAGTGTTTTCTTTTTTCATATTTCAAAATACTAAATGTAATCCTTATGCAATTGTTGTGATTAGTCTTCTAATTCTCTTGTTATTTTTATCTTTGTTACTTTTTGTTACACTAATAAACTAAAACTAATCATTTTTATTTTCTTTATAAATCTTTTTGTAAATTATTTTATGAATTTTTTTCCTTTTTTGTTTGATATTAAATTTGCTTATAAAAGAATTTTTAATATATCTACTTATAATATTTTCTAACAATTTAAAAATTTTGTTTAAATTCCTAAACCATCAAGAATTTGGAGGGGATACACCCAAGTATTGTAGAGCATTTTGCAATATTTCACTTAAACAACTAGAATTTCTAATTACGTCATTGTCGACACGCATCAGCTATTGTAATTTTATGTCGGAGTATTGATTCAAAATAAATCCAAACATTAGATCTACCTCGCCGGCAAAGTTACTTTTATTGTATTAAACGATAAGAATCGCCACGCAAATGCAACAAATTTCTCTGTCATTTTGTGACGGTCAGTAAAAGCGTGGCGATTTTATAATTTAAAAATGACATTAATTTCCTATATGAACCGACTATTAAGCTAAACAATAGAATTTTTGTTAATTGTTTTTAATAAAATGTAAATAAGGTTTAATTTATTTATAAATTTTCAGTAAATAAACTTTGTAATTATTTTTCTATTTTTAATATTTTAGCAGTCTGTTTTCATACTAAAAGTGATTTTCCTGTAAGGCTCTAAAACCTTAATGTTACAATCGACCCCCATATAACACTGTTGATAATTCCGTTTTATATGAATTCCATGTTGTACGAGTCACTTAGATTTTACAAATACGTGTGCCGGGCTGTGAACGGCTCACGTATTTGTAAAATCTAAGTGACTCGTACAACATGGAATTCATATAAAACGGAATAATCAACAGTGTTATAGGGGGTCGACTTGTACACGTTATCATGAAAAATATTTTTGAATATTGTAACAAAAAATTTACCCACGCCAATTTCCAAATGAACCGAATCATTGCAGAAATGTCTTGCAGGCAAATTACAATTTGAATATCGTTAATTTACACTTTATCACATGTTTATTCCACGACTCATTCGTTTGACAGTCACATGTTCGATTACAAATTTTAATTAAAAAAAGAAAAAAAAATAATCTTGTCAATTTATGTAGAATAAACCGCAAAAAAGAATAAATATACACGAATTTCGAGATTTGTAATATACATTAAAATTATTTTTAAAAAAAATAAAAAACTAACCTTTTATAATTTTACATTAATGACAAACATTGCGACCTTCGTACTTTCAATGTCGATCAGTGTTGCCAATTGTCTTGTTTATATTTCATCGTGTACCCTACACTACCCGCTCTATAATAAAAATACTGAAATAAAAATCGTCAGTGCCCTCTAGAGGCTAAATTCCGTCCATCCGCCATTAATTAAAAACTAAGGGCTAGTTAAAAATTTCGTGTGATAGCTCGCACTAAGATTTAAAAAGTTAAAACACATACTGTATGTCTATAGTGAGATGTTTGATAGTTTTATATTAAGTGATGTATAAAGAATATATTTCAACCGTTTGTTTTTATATACAGTATATATAAATAAGTTTGCGCGCTGGACAACTGTAAATTTCATTTTTATAATTTTATTTATTAGAAAAAAGCATTATCTTTAAAAAGTTGTTGGTCAGAAAGTGGGTGACCAGTTCAAAGTTCGCGTTTTTTCTTTTCTTGCGCCCTCTATCGTCAGAATCGGCCCGTAGCCGACGGGCGCCACAGTGCTCCCCCTAGTGACAACGATATAGTGATCAGAGGTACCGGGGGTTGAATCGGACGTGACGTCCTGACCGGGTCGTGGTGGTTGGTGCTTGCGTCGGTGTGACAGGATTGCTTGTGTTATTGACCGGTGGAGTGGATGTATCGTTTGCAGTTGTATCGATGAATGCTGGTTTGAGTCGATCTATGCTGATGACAGCTTCTCTGCCTTTTATTAGTACGGTGAAATGTTTATTGGATCGTGTAAGGACTTGATAAGGGCCATTGTAGGGAGGGAGCTTGTAGGGGTTTTTTCACAGAATCGTTTCTAACGAATACGTGGGAGCATTCCATTATTGAGGGATGTAGAAAGGTGATAATTTTATCATGTGCGGACGTATGGACTGGAGAAAAATTGTTCATGATATTGCGGAGGCGCTGAAGAAAGATGGGTGGCTCAAGGGAGTTATTATCTGTCGGTTGTACGAAGTCGGCAGGTAAACGTAGTGGTTCCATATACCATTTCCGAGCAAGTGTTCCCGACGTCGGGTTTAAACGTGGAACGGAGCCCGAGCAGAACTGTAGGGAGACTTTCTGTCCAGCGGTTGTTGTCACTGCATCGTAGGGCTTGTTTGAGTGTGCGGTGAAAACGCTCTACCAGCCCATTTGTTGATGGGTGATAGGGGGTTGTGCGGATTCGTTTGATTCCAAGGAGTGCAGTGAGTGACATGAAGAGTTGGGACTGAAACTGTCGCCCCTGGTCAGTTGTTATAATGGAAGGAACTCCGAATCGAGCTACCCATGTTGATATGAATGTTTTCGCTACCGTTTCTGTCGTTATGTCCGGGATTGGTGTGTCCTCCGGCCAGCGTGTGAATCGGTCGACACATGTAAGGAGGTACACGAATCCTTCTGATGGTGGAAGTGGTCCCACGATGTCCATGTGTACGTGGTCGAATCGGGTAGGTCAAACTGTTGCAGTGGGCTTCGAATGTGGCGGTTGATTTTATTCCGCTGACAAGTTATGCATGTTCTGCACCATTGAGTGGTATCCTTGAGCATGGCTGGCCATACAAAGCGTTCCTGATTTAGTTTCCGGGTTGCACGAGTGCCTGGGTGGGAGAGATTGTGAACGGAATTGAAGACTTCACGGCGAAAGTTAACCGGAATATATGGTCGTATCCTATTATTTGACGTATCGCACATGATTTGTAGTTTGGGATTGAGAGTGAGAGGTTGTAGCTGTAAGGAAGATTGTTGGGTAGACTGTAGTTTTTTAAGCTCTACATCGTTGTTTTGTTCCTGTGCTATTGCGGTGAAGTCTAAGGAAGAAGGTAGCTGGATGTTGTTGATTCGAGAGAGAGTGTCAGCCACCGGTCCACCAGATAGTGCGTTTGTCGTTTTTTCTGCTACCTTTCAAAATATCGTACATAGGTGCTTGGATAGCTGCAGCATTTGGGAGAAAGCGATGGTAAAAATTTAACATTGCCACGAAACGTTGTAGTTCGGCAATTATTCGTGGCCGTGGAAAATTTTTGATGGTTTGAACTTTCTCAGGTGAAGGTTGTATGCCAGCGGGAGTGATTAGGCATCCGAGGAAAAGTACGGAGGTCTGACCAAGGACGCATTTCGATGGGTTCAGGGTAAGTCCGTGTTCTTGAAGTCGTGTGAAAACTTGACGGAGGTGTTGTAGATGTTCGTCCTTGTCTACAGATTCAACCAGGACGTCATCAAAATATGGGACACAGAAGTAAGTCCACGTAGCACTTGGTGGATAAATCGTTGAAAGGTCTGTCCAGCATTTCGCAGTCCAAACGGCATGAATAGATACTCGTATAATCCGAACGGCGTAGTTATGGCAGTCTTAGGTACGTCCGCTGGATTGACTGGTATTTGATGGTAGGCTCTTGCTAGATCTAGGGTGGAAAATATTGTCTTCCCATGTAATAATTGCATACAGTCTTGTATGTGTAGCACAGGGTATCTATCAGGGTGAGTAATTGCGTTTAAATGGCGATAGTCCCCGCATGGCCGCCAGTCTCCATTTGGTTTTCTTACCATGTGTAAGGGACTGGCCCATGCACTCTTTGATGGCTGAATGATTCCCTGTGCCATCATGAACTCAAACTCTTTGCGAGCGGCGAGAAGAGTGTCTGGAGGTAGACGACGTGGTTTGCTAAACACAGGTGGACCCTGCGTTTCTATGTGGTGGTAAACCTGAGCCTTTTGTTTTGGTTTGTCCAATCGTGATGGATTAGTGTTATTAGGGAACTGGGCCAAAAGTTTGTGGTATGGTGAGTCGCCAGACACGACTGTGATGCTGGTAGAGGCTGGTAGCTTCTTCGTTGTCATCCCTTTGGATGTAAGTTTAGTTGTGGCATCAATCAAGCAGTTATGTTTTACGTTGACGAGTAGGTTGAAATGTTTCAAAAAATCTACGCCCAGGATGGGTTGAGCAACATCAGCGATGATAAAGGGCCAGCTAAAGGTTCGACAAAGATTTAAATTTATTGTGAGTAGTCTGGTTCCGTATGTTGAAATTTGAATGCCATTTGCTGCATAAAGGGTGAGTTTTCCTGGATGGACAGGTTGAGCTGCGAATTTTTTTGGTATGATTGATGCGTCTGCTCCTGTGTCGACCAGAAAGTGAAGTTCGGATGAAGGGTCGGCCATAAAGATTCTATTGACTTGGCATTTGCTCTCTGTGGCCACAGGGAGCTGCCTGTCTAGTTTCCTGATTTTTGGAATGAACAAGGTGGGGTGCATTTTTTTGCATTTGCACCAAAGTTAGTGTGGTAAAAGCATAAGCCATCTTCTGGTTCTTTGTAACGGCGTCGCTCACGGGATGGACTTCGTCCATGCGAGTCCTGGCAATTTCAGAAGTTGTATCTTGGGCGATGTTGGTATCTTGGTGCTCATACCAGGGTAGCGAGTTCATTCACTTGCAATGTTAATTCCTGTATTTGTTTCTCGATTGGATTGCTAATAGAGAATTGTTCCTGTTGGCTGATTGGCGTGTGGTTTATAACGGTCAGTTCGTGTATTTTGTCAGCCATTGTGGCGAGTTGTGACAGAGTTTCATTCGAGGCTGCCAGAATAGCTTGGATATTTCCTGGTAGTCGTCGAAGCCACAGCGATTTTAATAAGTCTTCACTGAAATAACCATTGCCGAGGTCACGCATCTTAGTAAGTGTGACGGGCGCTGGTCGCCCAATTCAAGTCCTTGTAATAGTGTTCGCAATTTGGACGTTTGGCTTTCCGAGTATATGTCGATCAGCCTTTTTTTTTTTATTGTTTTCAGGTGGCTTAGTTACCAGGTCGTGTACCGATTCTATTGTTGAAATAACGTAGTAAAATTTGGTTATGTCGGCGGAAACGTTAGCGATGGCGAACTGGGCTTCGAGTCGGGCAAACCAGAGAGTGGGTTTGTTCTTCCAAAATGGAGGTGGCTTGACTGCCACTCGAGAGATTTGCGGAACGCCGGCTGACTCCATTATATCAGTTGACGAAATTTTCGAAAATAGAGATATAAAATTGTTACTGACCTTCTTAAATTACAGGAAATAGTTAAGTTTCGTTTTTCTGATCTTGTGGTTGAACGATGGAGATGGATTATCCTTGTGAGGCACGTGTCTTCTTTGTTCGGGTCACCAGTTTTGGAGTTCGTATTTCGCTCGATGTTGAAGAGAATAAATCCAGTCGGAATTTAATATCTCTTTCTTTATTTATGAATATATACAGTTATGTACAACACAATATATTTACAGCCCGACATCGATCGAAGGTTAAAGTTGCTTTTTGCTGACCGCTTGTTCTCCCATCCGTTTCTAGTCGTTGTTGGTCGGAAAGTGGGTGACCAGTTCAAAGTTCGCGTTTTTCTTTTTTTTGCGCCCTCTATCGTCAGAATCGGCCCGTAGCCGACGGGCGCCACAAAATAATCCTTTCAAACCGATTAATATATTTACGTAATACGTGACGTAAAATCATGATGTGATCGTAATACATCACACATGTTGTTAAAAATATATTCTAACAATACGTAACGAATTGTTACAATGTATTGTTCGTTTTTTCTGTTGTAGATAAACCATTGTAAAGACAGGAGACGCCGACGAAAGGCGGAGAAGGCTCTCTGTGTCCTGAATCATTAAGGCTTGCTTGGGTGAAGACAGGAGATGCTGACGGGGCAAAGAGAATTCTCTGTGTCACGTTTCGTTAAGGCTCGCTCCAATAAAGAGGCCGACGAGAGATGGACAGTCCTCCGAGTGTCCCGCATGATTAAGGCCCGTTCGGATGAAGGAAAGGCGGAGAATCCGCCTTTCCTCGGCGTCTTCTGTTTTTACCCGAGTGGGCCTTAAAGATGAGGGACACAGAAAG